GCCATCATCTTCTAGTGAGATCGACCTTATCTTTTCTTCATGCACTTTAAGACGATATGAAAGGATCTCCAACAATCTCTTAGTTCACTTTTTTCCTGGCTTCCAATTTTGTCTTTTGCCACAAGTTACTTGCCCAACTTTCATAATTTACATGACTAAATGCCGATGCTCAATTGGTTTAGTTGATTATTTCTATCCTTTATTCTGGCACAATTCCCAAATTAATCAGCTCCAAACTAACTGTGTTGGCTTGACCGTGGCAGTCTCTGGTTGGACTTGTCACCGAGCAGCCGTTCTAGTGACTTGGATTCAGAAGATTCATCGTGTTGTATGTCATAGAGATTGGTTTTGGGCTGCTTCAATGACCGGCGGGGAGGAATAAAAAGAGAAGAGAATGAGGAATGGAGATACTGATAAAGAGATTGTACGTATCAAGATAATATGTATAAAATATTTAAAAAGCTTAATTTATAATCAGGCAAATGGAGTTAAGGTCTTTTACAAAAGCTTAAAATAATTCCTATAAAATTTTCACTAGTCTATTTTGATAAAAAAGGCAACAGCACCATATAACATCTGAGAATGAATTCATAATTGTAACCCAAATTGTCAACGACCTTTGCAAATTGGTATTAAACACTATATATGATCGAAAATACGAAGACTAAGATGGTGTGGCCTTTTCTGTGGTCGCAGTCTCCTTTCGTTCTATACAAGTTGTTTGACCTTGCTTTGGCAACTGGTTTAATTTGGTAGAAAGAATTAGAGGAACGCACCTAGTCTGTAGTCCATTATATACATAATAATTTTCAAAGGCGGACCGTGGACGTGGTACATTCCCAGACGGTTTGCCGGCATCGTAGTTGGCATCGTCAGTGAGTCTTGCCAGTCCTAGCACTATACTACAACTCGTCAAAGAGACAAGTGAAGCCGATATTTGACCAACCGTGTGCTAAACACTTGTGGTATCTCTCCTTTTGTCATGGGCTATTCACCTCTCTTTTATTCCCGTATCACGCCTCCACTATCACAATTTTTCCTTGCTTATTTAAATGTAATGTGGTGTTCCCTTTTGAGCAGCCTTCATGAGAACCCTCCAAAATCCATGTTTGCGTTATCACCACTTGGGAATGTTAAACAAAGTCTGCCATATTGTTACGCAGTCCTCTTTCTATATGTCTTATCAGAGTCTCCCTTTTGTCCCATAGGATCCGTCTGCTATCTCCCTGGTACACTCGACTCATGCCGCCCCACTGCGCTCCACGATGCGTTATTTCCCACACTCTGCATCTGCTAGACTAACTTGAGGCTAAAGCGCCTGAATAATTAGCATGGTCAAGCCTTTGCTTCAGGGACAACATATATGGTAAAATAGGCCTACTCTCAGCTAATTAGCTCTAGTATCTGCCGCGTCTATCCTGTTTCTATCCCTTATACCATGTCAAGGACTTGCTATGCCCTAGTCTCTTGTGTGCCAGTCCACAAATGTTGCGATACTGCTTGCTTTGATTAGGTTCAATGTTGAACCGCAACATTTGCGGGTTGGCACACAAGAGACTAGGGAATAGCAAGTCCTAGAATTGATATTAGGGAAAGAAACAGGATAGACGCGGCAGAGAACAGAGCTAGTTGGCTGAGAGTAGGCCTGTTTTATCATAGACGTGGACCCTAAAGCAAAGATTTGACCATGAGAATTACGCAGTGGCTTTAGCCTCAAGTTAGTGTCCCAGACGCAGGGAATGGGTAATAACTTCTCGAGTAGCCCAGGTAGGGTTGCAAGGATCGAGTGAAATATTTGAACCAGGGGGATAACAGACAGATCCTACGGGCAAGAGGGAGACTGATAAGACCTAGAGAAGGAGGACTGCGTAACAATATGGCAGACTCTGATCCACATTTTGAGCACAAGGGTGAAGGGGGGTGAGAACGCCAGCGTGGAGTGTAGATATTTCTCATGGCAGTTGCTTGAAAGGGCACACGACACTAGATTTAATAAGCAAAGAAAAAAATTGTGCTAGTCAAGGCGTGATACGAGGATATAGGATAGGTGAATAGCCCATGACTGAAGCAGAGATACCACAACTGTCTAGCACACAATTGGCCTCACTTGTCTCTTTGATGAGTTGTTGTATGGTGCTAAGAATGGCAAGACTCACTAACGATGCCGACTAAAATGCCGGCGAAGCATCTAGGAATGTACCACGTCCACGGTACGTCTGGAAACTATCATCCATACAATGGACTTCGGACTACGTGCGTTCCTATAAGTCGTCGTACCAATATTCTCAAGTCGCGAAAACAAGGTAAAACAACTTCAACTCAATATATACTTCAAAAATAAATATGACCAAGCATAACAACAAGGCCCAAAACCTGAAAGATAAACTATGGCAAGATGTAAAAGCTCATTTGTAACCATATTTCTCCCAACAAGTTTTCACCTCATTTCTGGTGCTGAAACTAGTTGTTTCGAGTCGACTCCTTTTGTTGCAATTGTATTGCTCTGGGCTCATGGAACTCATGTTACTTGACCGGTCCAAAAACTTTCCGGGACCCGAATATTGTATCAGAGCTGGATCCCTACCATTCATCGATTCAGTGACTCTCGAGGTCGCCGGTAGGCTGGCAACCCTTGGCAATGACTGTAGAGATGATTTTCCCTGTACCGAGGCCACAAGAGGTACATGTAACAGATGGTTGGCATTTTTCATCTCCTGACCAATTACCTGTACATTGGTATCCCCAGATGAGGATGCAACGTTGTTGAATCTAGAAATATCTCTTGAAGACATTGTGCTTGGTGTTGGTCCCAACTGGTTAGCTGCCTTAAGGCTGTACAATAAAGTAAAAAATAGAAGAGATCGTTAATTTTTTTCCAGCAAGTTCAGAGTTATGCAAGGAGCTAAGTTAAGATAGGTACTCAAAGGTCTTTACCTAACCAGGTTAAGCAAAGTAGTGTTAAATAACCGAGTTTACTATAACGCTTTCCAATAAAGTAGATAATGCGTTAAGGTTTATTAGTTACGCAAATTTAGGCTAAAAAAAACAACCAAAATGATTGCAGCTGTCACCGGAAGCCAAGAACTTCGATATTGTCTTAGTAAGCAGTAAGAATAAGGGTCCCCGGAATTTTATGGAAAAGGGATGGACATTATATCAAAACCCATTTTGCGCATCATATTTATGGTCCAAGTGATCTAGGTCCGAGAGTTTGACCAATGAATGGTTCTTCCGTTCGACCCTTAGAGGCTTTGGATCAGATTATTTCACTTAAATTTATGGTAGTATATCTAGTCAAAGATCCTATTCTTGAAAGTATCATAACTTCGCTGTCAGAGGACGTCTCCCTTTCATGTAAAAGCGAGGTCAAGCCAACACCATACAACTGGGAAAGTTTTACCTTAACAGAGATCACGTCGTCATGGTCTTCATACATACGACATTAGCTATAATCATAAGCGTTGCTTAACGAAGTATCCACTTTAGTAAAGGCTTTAGATAAACAATTAGCACAATTCCAAATACTTCTTGAAGTCATTTAGCCGTTTAAACCTTTCAAATTTGATCATGATGTCAATTATTCCTAAATACTTAAGCCCATTTCCTTCAGTCCTTTCTTTACAGGAGAGTACCATATATGCTGTCAGCTTTTCTATCTAGTATTGATCCGCAGCGCTTATACTCTGAACGAAAGCAAAATTCAACCTACAATTCCCACATAAAGCAAACGATAGGCTTAATTTGCATTAACATCTTGAATTTCCTCAAATCCCTTACTTCTCCTCTGCAAGACGCTGCGTCTCTCTGCGCCGGATGAGGATAATTCTGTCTTGGCTAAATAATGGCTCTGCTGATGATGATTCACCTTCAGCGTTGTTATTACTATCGATGTCTTCAAGAAGAAGATCGCTAATAGTGCTGTCAGTACGATTTAACTGCCCGTCCACAGAGCCGGGTTTCCACTGGCTAGACAGTCCTGTCTTTGGAACTTCCTGAAGGGATTGGATAGGCTGCCGGCTTATCTCTACTCGAGATGGTGAGGTTTGTGAGGAAGAAGAATCAGCAATTTTTATCTGTTCCATCGATTGCAAATGCGATGATGGAGACGGTATGATCAGTGGGGTTGCTCTTGGTGTAGGTCGACCTTCCTCAAGCCCGTCTATTGATGATACATTGAGTTTAGAGTCATTGCTGGCGACAAAGAGAGGGCTTCCAGCGGACTGCTCAATCAGCGTAAGTCGGCGTACAGCTTCGAATCGAGGCTCTGCATCTGCGATAGAACGTACGAGATCGGAGTGCCGTCGTAGGGCCTCTTCAAGGCTAAGCAAATTGGCAGCGGCTTCATGCTGGGCTCTTGAAATCGCAGGGTGACTAGTTATAGCTTGGTCCTGGCCATCAAGCTCCTTATTAGCGGGGAAGGTCTTTCTTCTGCCCTTATTTTCAATGATGGA